GCACAGGAGAATGCCACCAATGCTGTTGGGAGTCCCCAAGCTGTTCCCCAGCTGTTCCTGGCAGTCAATCTTGAAGAACGGTTCAAAATCATTCTTCAGAATTGGCTGCCATAGCACAAATGGGGAATGGCTTGGGGATTCCCAGTGGCATCAGTGGCGTTCTTCTGTTTGGTAACTTGCGTTCTCGCCCTGTTCTATGCCATTCCATTCCGTTCAGTTGCCATTCCTGCAAGTGCCATGCGATAAACTTATATAGCAAACAATGCACCATGAAGCTTCTAACATAGAACTGTGAATCCTGGGAATATAAGTTTCTGATGAGAGTGGGAGCGATGTTTGTAGTCCACAGGAAAATAATATGAAAATGGGACATCAGCAGTACCTGCTAAAGGTCCAATAGTCCCAGAGAGATGTATCACTTTTTCCTAATTGTCCTTTTTATCTTCAGTTCCTAACTCCACATCTGCATCTATATTTGCTCTTTCTTCTTTCACTTCTTATTTTCCCATGATTTACAAATATTCATAGAAATGAAAACTACATGAACATATTCCCAAACTCACTTATTCTTTTAGAGGATAAAATGATAGGAGAAAGACTCCCATCTATAAACAGTATAGAAAATTGAGTCTCTTGGGTTTCCTAAGCTGAGTGTAATCAATCACCTATAGTCATTAATATATTGATGTCTTTTTCTATGAAAAAAAAAATTATATTTCTTAGCTAATTTCAGCTTGCAAAAAAATGCTTAAAGCACAGCTACTTTACTGGGGTGGAAATTTCCATGCCATCCTTCATACATAGCCATATCCTGTCCATATCAGAGTATCAACGCTCAGAGCTTGAGCTTTGCATAATGAATTATGGATTTTATTAAAGATTAGAAATGGAGGACATGTAAATCATGCTTTGCTCTGTATGTGAAAGATATGTTCAGCTCACATCTCCATATTGGAATGTCATATTTCTTCTTTTTCTCCTCTCACTAAAAGATAAATTCACATTCACACAAATGTACACATCCCACAAAGATATATATATTTTTTTCTGGAAAAGATTCATCTCTCTGTCCATGTCCATCACCAATACTTCACAACCAAAATGACAAAATTGTGAAATCATTCAGTGGACTTTGCTATGCCTTCCAGCTCTGTAATGCTATTGTTGTGGTTGTTGTGTGTCTTCAAGTCGTTTCTGACTTATAGAAACCCTAAGGCAAACCTAGCATGGGGTTTTCTTGGCAAGTTTCGTTACAGCGGGGTTGTCATTGTGCAAAACACATAGGCTGCATCTACACTGCAGAAATAATTCAGTTTGACACTGCTTTAACTGTCATGGATCAATGCTATGGAATTCTGGGATTTGTAGTTTTGTGAGATAGCAAGCCTTCTCTTTCAGAGAGCTCTGGTGCCACAACAAACTCCAAATCCTATGATCCCATTGGTTGGAGCCATGGCAGTTAAAGCAGTGAGGTAGCAGCCTTACACACTTGGAATAAAGAGATAGAATAAGGTGACCAATAGCCAAAACATTATAGCTGGGATTCTGTATGGTCTTTACATATGCATAAGCACTGTCGTTATGGTGCTACACACTACTCGAACCACTACACTATATACTAACTATATACTATCTCTCTCTCTCTCTCTCTCTCTCTCCATATATATATATATATATATATATATATATATATATTCTATACATTGTTTATATAAAAATTAAACAATTTATAGAGGATATATAAAGGCAGAGTGTCTAACCAGCATAGTGTAGTGGTTTGATCATTGGACTAAGACTCTAGAGACCAGGATTCAAATTCCCACTCAGCCATAGAATCCCATAAGGTTCCACTCTCTCAACCTCAGAGGAAGGCAAAGGCAAACCCCTCTGAACAAATCTTGCCAAGAAATACCCATGATGGGCTCACCTTAGGGTTGCCATAAATTGGAAATAGCTTGAAGGCACACAACAACAGCATATCAGTGTATAGGTTACATTATATAGATAGATTGTTATTATTGTTAATTGCCCTCAAGTCAGGCTCAGTTATCACTAGAGTTTATTCTGTCTGTGCAAATTGTAGCAACTCTATTGGAATGTCATGTGTTCCTGGTGAATTACTCTTCCCAATATGGAAGCTACTACCTTGGTTTCCAAGATTTGGGGACTTTGCTATGCCTTCCAGCTCTGTAATGCTATTGTTGTGGTTGTTGTGTGTCTTCAAGTCGTTTCTGACTTATAGAAACCTTAAGGCAAACCTAGCATGGGTTTTCTTGGCAAGTTTCGTTACAGCGGGGTTGCCATTGCCATCCTCTGAGGCTGAGAATCTCCTTTCCAGAATCTCCTTTCATGTACAGATCCTACAGTCTGCAGCAACAGATAGGAAGCTTACTCTGTTTTTGATGGGACAATTGTTTGGATAAAATGAATTTAAAAGTAGACAAATACCCTTTGGCCCAAGGGCAAATGCCTGAAGAAGAAAAAAACTTAACTGGCACAAAAATGTGAACAGGCAAATGTTCACAGAAATTTCTGTAAATTTCTAGCAGACAGAAAAGGGTCAGAATCCAATGTAAACTGCATACATGTCCTCTGAGAACATCTCATCATCTGTGTCTGACTCCCCAAAGTACTCCTCTCAGATCTAGCCATTCACAGGCACCCACTGCCAAAGTGGGACAGTTGGGGGTTATGCTGTTCCAATGAGCCCACTGTGATATTTCAGTCTAAGGAAGAGCAAAAGGAGCACAAATGCTCTCCATTTGCCTCCCCTTCCGCACAGTCAGCTGAGACAAAAGATTCATTCCTCTCCATGGGACAGGCAGTGTCAATGCCTATATGTTCAATCAATGTTCTGAACATGAAAGTAGTGGTATGAATGTGCATGGCAAACACTTTCACACTATCCTTGATTCGTCGCTTCACATGACTAGTGAGGTGAATGCGGCGGTCA